GACTCTCCTCCCGTCTGAAGTTTGGAGGCGTCAGTGAAATAATTTCCAATAGTTGGAAGGTAGCTTTGAGGTCACCTCCGCCGACTACCAGTCGCCACAACTCGAGTAAAATCCTTCCCAGCCGCAGAGCCAACTCTAGGGATCCGAGAGACCCATGCTCCCACGGTGTGCGCTCAGTAAACCCACGACCGGCAAAAATCGGAAGAGTCTTCCGGAGGATCCCTCGTCTGCCAGCTGCTTTCATGTAATGAGCCTCCGTCGTGTTCTCGAAGCAAGCCGGAGATATGGCCGTGTAGGACGGGCTCCTTGGGAAAAGCAGGGTTGTTTCGTTGCTGTTTCCGATATCGACAACGTCGGCCGCCGGGAGGTCGATAATCAATGTTCACCTATTAGCGCCACGCGGTCGCTCACGCACCTCGTGGTGTCAATTCACTTGCGATAGACAGGCCTCGCTCAGACGTTCCCGTCTCGCTTTCCTTGCATGTAGGGCTCTCGGCATCTTTCGAAGTCAGCATCGCCTGCCGCCATTCCGATTCAAGGCCTGCGCTGGCAAACTGTGACCCTTATCGCTCCATGATGGTATTGAAGCTCAGCGGTGTTTCAAGGTACAACTCTCCCGAAGACCCTGGGTCGGAGCCGGGCCGACAGCGGAATCATGGACCACACATACATGTGTATGTACATTGAGAACGGGTCTTCCCTCTGCATCATCTTGATCCGGTCGCATAAGTCGAGGGTCGTGTCACCGGCAGAGCATACACGACCGTAAGTAAAACTACACGTAGAAGGGCAAAACCGAGAATCTCCGTATGAGCCTGCGGGCTTCTCCCTCCGCGGCCGCAGATAAGACTTCCGTCGTCGGGCACACGACGAGGCTGTGGCTTCCTCGATGCCTAATGGGCGTATTCCTCGATCTACAGATAGGTGCCGAGAGGATGCTAAACTGTACTAAGCTTCCTGGGAGCTTGACAGCATTAAGCATCGTTTGCACCCGACAGGAGTGTGAGTAGGTCGTACTCGCGGCTTGTTACCCGAGGCGGCGTAAACTATCGTGACGCCGTAGCTTCGAAGGACGTCGGAATCTCGGCAGACGAGTTGGGTACTTCGGGTGACGTCGAGAGGGATCGATGGATTTTTCGAACACGGGCACGAGAGCCTCAAACACCGTGCCAACAGCAGCTCTCTCCCATGCGCTCGATCCGCCGCTTCTCTCAGGTGGGAACATATTGTCAGTGAGTTCATCGATTGTTTCAGAAGTGCCAGGAACGAGAACTAGAACGATGATGGGTATACATTTATGAATCCCTCTGTGCGTATCTATAGGGCTCGAGACGAGACACCTTTTGTTTTTCGGTGCAGCAACGGTTCGACAGTCTTATAATAAACTTGAACATCATTCCGGAGAGGAAGTATTCCGAATAAGCAAGAGGGACGCCGACATCATTACGCGAATTCTTCAAGGAAATTCCGCCACGGGGGTCCTGCTCCATTTATTACAAGGTCCGGGACCCGGAAACTGACTAAGCTTCGAATCATAATGAATTAAATCGGAAATCTATAATCGGAGAATAAATCGAGGGAATTTTACGCCGCGCTTTGGAGCATCCGTCTGCAAGACGAATCGGGAGGACATGACGCATTTCGCCTGGAAGCAGTTTTTCTCGAAGGGCACTGCAATTTCAATCTGATGACGATTTCATCATAGATCGCAATCTCGACGCAATTCCGACCAGTCTCGCATTCTGTGAATGTCTGCCGAATCGGTAGACGACCTCGATGGCGAATCTCGAGGAATCGGTCCGAGATTGCTGTGGAATGATCATGCGGCAACGGCTGCGGCCATCCGACAAGAGGACTCTGTTCGCTCCCCCCTCTCGACGGTCCTTACCAATGGCGTGGAAGTTTCACGCTTATCTGAGCGCCAGGATCGGCTCTCAGCCTCGACCCGTGTTGTTTTCCTCCCAGTGTCATCCTCACGCAAATCGCCCGGAATACTCTGGTCCACCTCCCTTGTTCCGAACCCTCCTTCCGAACGTCCCGTTTTTCTGACGCACACGCCGTTCTCCACAGGGTCGATAGCACAAGCGAGAGACGGAGGCACAACAATGGTCCAAGGTCTGGTAAGCATCTATCTGTCTTTACTCCCAGTCGGTGCACTTCCGGAAACTTTTACAAAACGAATTGCTTCAGTGATTCCCTGCTGAAAACAGAAGCAGGCTCTAAAGCAAGTAGAGCTCGTATGCATCATGATTCGGTGTCCTCTTGTGGAATCAATCGGTTTGGCTCATTTTCTCCCCCCTCCTCTCCCCGGGGTACGCTACGAGACGAGGGACCGTAATTGGATGACGCACTGCGACAAGGTCGCCATGAGGGCATCATCCGCGGTCAGCATCGGTACGATGTCTTCGCACTTCATCGAAGCTGATGTGGAGCATCATAAATACTTCATGCTACTCATCCATAGAAGAAGAGCAGCAGCATGAGGTCCCGAACTTAGACCTCACACCGAACCCTCTGGGACGGAGCAGCGTGCGATTCCTCGGAAGTGATTCCGAGGCGAATCAGGAGACGGTCTGAGGAAGACAAAAAGGAGTCTTGAGTAATTCCGTGAAAACCTGGGCATTTGACTTCGAATGAACGCCTCATTAGCCGCGGGTTCGTGGAGCAATCGGAGTCCCGCGAGGCGGGGCTCCGTGTCGCTTTTGTTTCCTGATTGTTCTCTGCATCTGGCAAGACTTACGCAGGGGTGTTGTCCAAGCGTATGATTAGTCCGTCGTCCACGTACATACCAAGCCAGAGGGCCTAAGTCGTTCCGGGGTTTATGTCTTCTTCCGTGACAAAAGGCCATCTAATTTCTTCTAGGGCGCACTTTCCATTCTGAGTGAAACCCGAATCCCCAAGCTCCAAGGGATTCAGATGTATACGAATAACACGGCCGGAGGTGAATACTGTCTTTAGCGGAACCTTCGCCGAAACTTTGCAAGAAAATACTAATTGGAGAATGGGTTGGCTATGAGAACATTGAGAATGGGTGAGAGTCTCAGTCGCCGCTGACACTCGACGGCATTGGGCTACGTGAGATTTTCTGAGGGATTCGAATCACGATTAAGCAGGACACGGCTTGATCAATCTCGGATAGCATTCAGATCATGTCGGGCAGCTAATCTCCCGATTTTTCTTCCCCCGATCGTGAAACGTCAAGATTAGGGCGATGGGCTCGCTTTGCCGGTGCGTTCCGATCGAGTTGACAGACAGCCAGACTCTCGAATGGCGTGAGACGTACGGCGCAGCTTCGAGAAGTAATCAAGGGTTTGTTGTGAACCTCTCCGGATCCCATGAGAACGGAAAGGAATGCAAGACAGCAAAATTTCGACGCGGTTTGGCCGACCGCGCCGCCGTCCGCCGTAGCCTCTGGAGCGATTCAATAGGAGATGGAAGGACGGAGGAAAGATGCTTCAGAAGAAGGTCCGGAGATTTCCCGGGAGGGCTTTGCGTTAGCCGCGCTGACGCTGTCGGAGCTGCTGCCGTCACGGAATGCTATGCAGCTGCGGTGAGCTGAAGGAAATTTCCCTAATGTGGAATTCGCGCTCTTTCCACCGGTTCGTTGATTGTCTTCAGACATGGCTCGCAATTGGCTCCGAGGAACGAGGAGCTGTCCTTCGATTGAGCGGCGAATTCCTCTCGATCGTGCGGGTAGGATTGCAGCGTGTTCCTCCCGGGACGCTCGGGATTAAGAAGACGTAGCCGGCGACTTTTCGTCCTCCGGTACACCCTAGAAGGTTTCTTGAATCTGTTTGCCGAATTGTCGGATTTCCCCGATACAGCACTCTGGTTCTCCTCCGAGTTTCGGAAGTTGGAAATCGCCAATTTTTCCCACGGCGTTCGAGCTCAGTCTTGCGTACAATACCGCGAGACAGAGCAGGACCGAGACCCTCTGTTATCGGTGCGCACTATCAGCCCACGAATGTTCGGAGTTTGGACGGAATGATACAACTGGGTGTCTGCGAGTCGGCTCGAGTTCCGCGATGCCAGGATCTCAACGGATTAACCATCGTGCCGTACCGAAAGCGTCATCCCGTGATGGCCACTCCGAACTACGAAGCGGAGGCTCCTGGACCTGAAAAGTACCGGAGTTCTCCGCGATGACCTCGATCAAGTTCGCTGCCGCTCACCTAGATTTTGATCCTCATGCCGATACTCAAGGTAATGGCGCCCGTTTTCCCGTCGTTTCGTCGGCTTATCGGTTCGATTTCCAAGCCCGTGTGTTCGGCGTCGACGGAGTCAACGCTGCGAGTACGAACCATGAGATTTATCGTATCACGAGACGTCATTGGAGATAAAATACATATCTAGGGTTACTCACAGAAAAAAATTGAAATCGTCGGGCAAAAAAATCGGCTCTTAGTGAATCTAATGAAGTGATGATTCGATAGACACAGAGTGCGATGAATTCCGAATATGAGTGCTGATCTATTTTAATGATATCACGATCGCGATAGACACTCAGCCTCAAAAGACGTCGCTTCTGTCGGTACTGCTCAGCCGCGCTCTTTTGTGAACCCGTGGCTGCAGCGGTAATTAATTGGAAGCCCATTCTGCGTTTGCCGTCTGTAGTTCTGTTGGTAACGAACGTACGGACGGTGGAACAACGGACATGACCGAACGCAACCAAGTCGAGAGGCCGGGCTTCCGAGTGGACGACTTTCAGCTCAAAACCATGGTCCAGTAGTCGTCAGGCCCTGGTCTGGACAGCGGACTCCTGCCTTTTTGAGCCATTTGCAGCGAACACAAACGAGGATACGGCTTCAAGACATAAAAAGAGAGCATCGAGTCTGCTTGCCTTGTTTCCCAAATTTTTCTCGCGGCATCTTCCCGCAGTCAGCCTGCTCGGCAGTCAGCCAACGAGTGCGAGGGCCGGCGAACGAACAAACCAACAAAGTGTAGCTCTTTGCGTTTTCAGAATGAGTTCCCCAGGGAGTCGTGCACTGAAATTATTGTAGGTTTCTGGACGCTGCGCCTACTACCGTCATCTCGTCTGGAAGTCTCTCACGGAGAAGTATTTGCATGCCACACTCATGGAGCCGCAATTGCCTAGCGGAGAAACAGATGGCGGTCACAAGTTCCGCTTAGAAACCTCGTCTTCCACCGTTTCCAAGAACTCCCGCTTCCATGGAGCCTCCCTCGGCAAGAGAGAATTCTCGGTCGCACTCTCCCTCGAACCCCATTCATTCAGGTGATCATCATTATCATCATTCATCATCATCCTATGCAATCGTCAAGCTTAACTGGGAGTGAGAAATCGGGGCTTCGTCATGAAAACGTTGTTCATTCGTTCGGATGTAGGATCACTCCCGCGCTTCCTCGAGCTCGTCATCTTGGTCATCCTGCGGCGTGTCTTCCTTCGCTCCGTCTATTGCCTTCCCCGCATTTCGACGGAACACCGAGGTCGAAGACCATACCATGGTTGGGCCTGTGACGGTCGTCTGGAGGCCGGTGTCGCTGGCCGAAGCGTCCTGAAAAGAGAATAACTGAGAACGACCGAGGTCATGTTCCCGTACCGAAGGCCCCGAGGAGAAAATTTGGGAAGAACCTCACAAGTAGTCCTTGGCGTTCCAGGAATTCCTTCCTCCGAGCGTTGATGTCAATGTTGAAGTCATCGTTCTTGAGGCTCTTCCTATAAGGGGCGAGGGGACGGATTACAAAATTTTTCTCCCTGAATATGTCGCCTCGAGTTCTCGCGGAGGGCTTCGTCGTCATCGCGCAGCCGTGGACCTCTATTCCACCTCTCGACTCACGGCCTCCATTTCTCTATAATATGGGACAGTCAGATGAGCATTCAGTTTACCCACGATGAGCAATCACTCACTATGCAGTCGAATTGCTTGAGAATCGAACTGCATCCTTTATTCAGGAAACGGAGGAGGAGGGAGGGGAAGTGGACGGCGAGATATCCTATACCTTCTACGACACGCGAGAGATCTCCTTCTACATTGAGTGTTCAGCGTAGGGAAAAGAGGAAGGTCTTCGGCATGCCACACACTTCGGGGAGACAATTAGAGCAACCGAATGCCACCGAGTTCATCGATGGACGGCTTCCCATGAGATTTCGGGAGGCGCTACATGTTTTCTTTCCGGTATCACACCGAACAAGCAGACAATCCACCTGATACATTATTCAAGGCTTCCACTGATTAGCGCTCGCATAGAACGGTGCTATTCGCTAGTCGAGGATCTTAGTTATAAGAGCGTGTTCAGGAGCTACAAAACTCGTCGCGACATACTTCGGGACGTTCTCCCTCGAGAATGTCGTAGGAAAATCGCAGCCAGAGCATGATACTCCATCGGTGGCGGGAAACTCGACTCGAGATGGTCGATCTTGGTACGGAGATCCAATGAAATTATGCAGCCGCTCCCGATGCGATAAGGTTCCGACTGGAGCCTTACGGGAGTGTCCATTCCTCGGGATAGGTCATTCCCATATCGATTAAGACTCCTGTGATCACGAGCCATCCGCCGTGTAGACGCTCCTCGGCCTGGGGAGCCTCTTATCTCCTTCGGTGACATCCGAAACGTCCAGAGTGTGCAGCTTCCGGTAATCCGAGACCTTCTCTTGCACGACGAAAGTAACAGATTCCCACATTCCGTCCGGGGAAGCTCGCCATCGGAATTCGGTGAAGATTCAGGTCCGACTCGAACCTACGGACAGGAACAGCAGAAACAGATCTGCCGGTCATTCGAGCATCGTTCGGAGCCGGCACAGGCGCTCCTCGCGACGGCTGCATTCCACCTTGCGACCGAAAAGGGAAGATCGGACGGACAGGCGTACAGAGCGGAGTCGTCGGAGTTTATCCAATAGGGGCAGGAATACCTTTGGCAACATAAATCGATACCAAATGAATTGAGGTTTGGAGCCTGGACGGAGACAGATGCGGATCTTGAATCCGAAAACCGAGGCGTGTGGGACTCATGACTCCAATAATAGAGGAGCACGATCTGTTTCTCGAGATGGATCGCTCAACAAGCTTCCATTTGAACGAGCTTTCCCAGCGAGTAGAAGATTGGCACGCAGCTCTCTAGAGGTTTGTGCGTAACGTACCTACATCGATGAAGTGGCCTCCCGATAAGCGCGGATCTTCCCTGTATGAGTCCCGATGCAGTAAGTTATTTGGGCGATACATTCCGACAGCGTTACACGGCAGAGCGGAATTCCGCAGGCGGATGTATCGTAGACGATTTCCCGTAGGATGCCGTGTTTGCTTCTTGGAGCATCTCGTACCCCACCGGGAAATTCGACCTCCCGGTCTTTTGCTCAGTTTGATCCTCTAATTCCGCGCCCGGACTCGTCGCGTCGGAGGTTCTGCATATCTCATGTCATGAACGTTCAATGGGAATGATCATCGGGCTGGAGAGATAAGTACGTAGTTTCCCCGATTAATCTCTCCAGAATAGGAGTGAGCCTTCAGTTCGGAGGGAAGTCCAGAGAAGGAAGCGAGTAGCTCTGAGTCGGTGGCATCTCGCAGGAAAGTTCAACCCCCTAATATCGGCGCCCTGCTGACAATAAACCTGTCTGTAGGAGAGAAAAAACCCTATAGGTGTTGAAAGAATACCATGCGGCAGTCCAATATGATATTGTTCTCTTTACCGATTAGCCAGGATATTTACCAGGATATACGTATAGACATATAGAAACCCCCCTCCTTACATATTTTGCTGCTCGATAAATATTCCGTTTTCCGTGCGACTGCTGCTCGGGCTCAACCCCCAGCGGGCACGCATAGTTGAGACAACCAATGAAAGAGACTTATTAGGTTCAGACATATCGGAAAAGAGCTCACGCTATTCTTCTCGCTGGTCGCGGATCGGCTCGGCTCTCCGAGAAAAATCCTCAAATTTTCCACTCCAAAAACAATCGGCTTCGGGAGGACGGAGAACTGTCGCGAGCTCCGCTCTTTGGCGAAAACTCATCCGCTCGCGCTGATTCGACCGTACGTGACTGTAATAGCATCATCGACGCCAACGCGTACGCAGTCAGCTCGGTCCCTCGATTACCATACGCCATCGGTCGCGAACTTGGAAAAGCGTTTACCAGTCCCCATTTTTCTAGAGAGTTCGGTGGGCTGGCCGGGGGAGTTATCGAACACGTTTGCTCATTTCCATTCGTTCATGAGTCTGTTCATGCAGCAACAGGCGATCGCGAGTCGCTTTTGATCGAGATAATTCCGACAAGGTCTTTCGCGCGAGCGATTTTCGTGATGCGATAGTCAAATGGTCCTCTATCTTTTCGCTTGTCACGAACCTCCCTGGGATGATCGATCCTACGTTCCATTGATCCTGAGAATTATTTTCCCTCAGCTGCCCCCGAAACGACCAATCCGAGGAGCTCACGAAACTCTGATTCGCAATCGTATAGACCAGGAAGATCGCTATTTCTTTCGAGCAAATACAAAGTTCGGTTCTCGTTCCTCGACCCGAATCGAGAGGTTCCGATGATAATCAACTTCCCTGCGGCGGGAGGCCGTCTCCGTTGCTGATGTTCCGGGGAAGTTTTCGTGGCTCAAGGGGGAAGTCCGTCGATGTTCGGGACGTTCTCCATTTCCAGAGCGCCCCCGAGTGGCGCGGTGGAAGCGATCCCCTCCGGAATCGAATTGGGAGCAATGCGTGCAAATGCATTCGATACGGAGGGAAAAATCTCGCATAAACAGCGGTGTAGATGGGAGCGAAGGTCGACAATAAAGTTTCCTCGACTTTTATTTTTACACACCACATTTGAATGTCATACACAATGTATGCGCTGGCGATGTCCATTTTACAGTTCAGCGTCGTGTCTTCAAGTTGAACAGACGGGGGAGGGAGAAGAGTAGCTCGGTGAATCTTGGGGAACGAGAGCGTGTATAAAAATAACAGACGAAAATAGAGACAGACGGCTTCACGATTGGTGGCTCGTTTTCGTTCGGGCACCGGGGGAGTGTCGGGGGTCTTTGTTCCGATTTGGGGTCTCTGCCTTAGAATCTTCTCTCTAGGCTCACAGGTACATGTCTTCGCGGTCGATTCCTACGACTTCGCCGTCTTCGCCACCGCTGAATATCAGGAAGTGCGCCGGTCGATGCACTTCGTGATAGAATTCTTTCGGACCAGCGAGCGCCAAATCGTACTTCATGTTGACATCGTGTCGCACCCCTGAGAATGAGAAAGGTGATTTCGTGGTAAGCGCAAACGGTTTCTGTCATGAAACGATACTTATCCCAAACCGGAGCGAGAGCTGCAAACTTTTTCGTGAGAGTACTCGAGAGGAGTAGAGGTATCGACTGGAGCCCCAGGAGTTCTGAGGAATAAGGGCCCCGCATCGAAAGCGATGAAACCTACCCATGAAGTTGTAGTTCCAAGGCCCTTGATCTGGAACCATGAAGAAGCCGACGAATCGATCACTCAACAGCATCTGGACTTTCTCGTAGTGAGATGGAAGATATCCCTTGGGGTTGTTGCCGCGATCAGTATTCAGTCGACCCCACTCATAGCCGGACGGAGTCAGCTTGTAAGCCGTCAGAGAGCAAGAACCGGGAGTGAAGGAACAGGTCATCACGATCGCTTTCTCTGCATCCCACGTCGGGTGTTCCGACAGTATCTTGGCATGGGTGCTGACGTCCTGGAATGATTGATCGGAAAAATTCATTATTTCATATCTCTTCAATGCCCGAATGCCGCGGAAGCGGTCACGACGAATCTGTTCCTCCACGCAATAGCTCTCACCTGTGGCGAGAGTTGGGGAAGCTCGTTGGGCTGGGTATGCATCCAGCCGAGTGGCTCCAGGTCTTTCAAATATTCGTGCTGCGGGAGCTGGATGGGCAACGTCACGCTCTGGTGCGTGCCGCATTGGGGTGGAATCACTAAACACCGGATTTCTTTCACCTGGGGAATCGGGATGACGCCTACTGAGTTCTATGGCTCTGGACTTGAAACTTCCCGAACAAAAATGCAAAATTAAAAAATCGTCCCCCCCGGGGGACGGGGCGTTTATGCCGCTGTTCTCACCTGGGGGTTATCAGGCGGGGATACCCCATAGATGTAGGCGGCGATCTGAGTTCGAAGATCGGATATGATGATGAACTTTTTGAGCACGTTTTTCGGTAGAATGTATGTGTAGCCGGCCTCTTTTATGTCGTCCGACGACACGTAGATATGATTTGTCCTCAAATGGAGGTTCGTGGCCGAAATCGCTCGTACCTGGGGGAAATCATCATTAGAGAGGGCTTGGCAGGTCACGGCTTCTCATTGCGAGTTCTTTTCCCGTTCCCGGGCATGCTATTCTATGTATCTGTGGGGCTTCCTCGTTGTCGCGATAAGCAGAACATTGAATTTTGTCGCAAAATTGCAAAACCTCCCGAGCTTGAGGTCGGTCCCGCGTTTCGGTCATGGAACATGATGCGAAACTGGGACGCGAGCCCGGAAGGGTGAAGAATTTGTGTACTTTTTCTGGGACGGGCTAAAACTCGCTGGACCAACATTTTCTGTGCAGCGAAGGAACACCGTCCGTGATGACTCAAAATTCATGCAGGCCCACCGCACGACGGGGCTCGTTCGGTAACTTACCCTCCATTCGGTCCTCGAGGCGAAGGTCTGAGTCTCGTAATTACTCGTGGTTGAGGTGACGATGTCGTCGCCGTGCTTGTTGACAGTTTTCGTAGTTGTCGCAGTAAGTTGAGACTGTTCTTTGGTCTGCTTCTCAATCTCAGCGATCTGTTGTCTCTGAGCCGAGGGCGCCGAGATTTCCATTCCGAGGATGATGTCTCGCACTTCGGACTGCGTCAGCGAGGCGACGTTCACGTTGTTCTTCTTGCCGTAATCGGCCAGAATGAGATCTTTGAGCTTCACTTCGACGGCCACCCATTCCTCATCGGTCAACGTTGGCCAGATATGATGAGCTTCGGTGATAGTGGTCTTGTCGGGCTTGAGAATGACCTTGGTCCTCTCGTTGTTCACGTGGAGAGCTCGCAGGATGAGGATCAACCGTGAGAACGCCGTGTACGACGACACCGTTTTCAGCCAGTCGTCGTATAGGTTGAAAAGTACCATCTGAGGTTCTTGGGCCTTCAGGATCAGATCTCCGAACTTCTCCACTTTCAGACAGGCTTGGAAAGGCAGCTGAAGTTCGGATCCCTTGATCACGATATTGGGGAAGTCCAACAAGTGGACTTCGAGTGGATCCAACATTCCCTTCCGCGTGACGATGATCTGTTTCGGTTGCTCTTCCACCGGCAGAGACCGAATCAGAGCAGCAACTTCTTCGGCGGTCTTCCATTTGGCCAGTTGTCCGAGACGTTTCTGTCCGGCCCAGACGGACGTATGAATGACTTTGAGGAACAGCTGACCGGTTCTCGGGTTGAAAATGAAAATGGCGCCGTTGATGGGTTTCGTGGTCAGATTACCTTCGAATGTTTTGTGAATTGTGACACGGTACACATTCGTGTCGTCGACGAACCAGATGATTTGGTTGCTGAAAATCTCCCCGTAATTCTGGGAACTGAGGTAGGGTTCTGTCGGCTCCGAAGAGTACAGCTGCAGACCTTTACGAATGCGCTCTCTGAGCACGTAGAGAGCAGGGTTGGCCTTCATGATCTTAGCCATGGCCTGTTGGATGAGCGGTTTCGATCCAGGGAACCAATTCCCGAACGCGGAATGTAGGTTGTACGCCAAGTCCACGGCTATCAGAACACCGGTGGGCGAGGGATAGATCGACATGTTATCCGTAGTGTAGTCGAGATATTTCGCTCGAGCGTATCGTTCGATATCGTGCGAATCGTAGTCGCCCCAACGCAATTGGATGTCGATCCAGTATTTCTGGGTCGTCGTTCCGTCCATGGTGTCTTTGCTGTCCGCCAGCAAGCTGGGTCTCGACACGTTCCACTTGAAGGTGGCGAACAGTAGAATGTCGGCGCAGGACGAGTTCATCTTGTAGCTCTTTCGGGGATGGATCGTTTCTTTCTGCACCGTTTCGATCTCGAGGGCGTCCAGTTCTTGATCGAAGACTTGACAGAGATCCATGACGATTGACTCGTGGATTTTCTGCCATAAATGAGCTCGGAAGATTTGAATGAGGGAAATTTTCAGAGTGGGAATTTTTCCGTGCATGAAAATTCCCGTCAGATCCAGTTGCACCTGGAAACCGACGTAGACGTTGGCTCGATTGATGGTCGGCGACCACCAGAGGGTGAAACGACGGTTGGGAATTTGATTGAGACCAGATCTCTGGGCGTTGGTGAGCTTCTTGTACTTCATGCTCTCTTCGAAACCGGACGCTTTCTCCCAGAAGAGACCTTCCCAAGTCGGGAAGTACGTTCCCTTGAAGAGCGTGTGTTCCAGGATTCCTTCCACTCCTCCCAACGATTGAATCATGTCGGTTCGATAGTTGTTCAGATTCCAGAGTTTTCCGTCGTGACGCTGATGCGTCCACCAGAAGGGATTTTGCTTCAAGACCTGATATTGTTTGAAATCGGTCCGGACACGCCAACCTTTGTCGTAGGCGAGTGTGTGACGATCCTTCTGGAACAGGGTGTTGATCCGGGGAATACCTCGGTCCCACGAGTCTTCGAGATCTTCGAGAGTGAGTCGACGGTTCTGCGTGAGCGCTTCCTGTCTCTTGAGCGCGTATTCGGCCCAAACGCGCTGCGAGTCGACGAACTCGCTCTGCCAGGGTTGGATGTATCGGTACAGATTGGGAATCACTTGATCCTCGTCGTGGGACATTCCCGATCGGAAATGTGTAATTCCCACGTCGGTCTGTTTGCTCCATCTCAGATCGCTTTGAGGGATGAGAACGTGACCCATGGATAACATGCCGAGACCGCCGAGTTCTTTCGGGGTGTAGAACACCACGGGGGGGAATCTCGAAGGCATTTTCGAGTTCAGACCGATCTTGATTCGAGTCTGAATTTTGTTCTCGCACTTGACCAGTAAGTCAAGGAGTTCCTGGGTGTTGACTACGGCCTCACGGTAGTAAGTCATCAGACCTGGAAGAACGAAACGATTAATGAGATACGCTCGCCCAACTCGGAACAGATCTCCTCCGTGATTGGGATCATTGACATAAGACACTTTAAATCGATGGGGAGGGGGGAAGGGGGTGGCGATTCAACCCCCGAAGCGACCCGAGAGCCGACTGCTTGGCGCTTACCGATGAGCGCGGTGTTCCATTTATTGACGATTTTGGTGAACGTCGTGGAACCGGACGCCATGAGTATTTGACGAACCCTGTTGTGGAATTTAGCCAGAGATTCGTCATCGACTCGGAGGAAGCACTGAGCCGTGCGTTCTTTCGTGATTTCATTCTGGAGGTTCCAAACACCGTCCTTGTACGTGATCTGGAAGCGAATGCCGGAAATTCAAAATTCCATATTCGATTTACCGGCTGGCCCTGAGCATTGATCATCACAGCTGATGCCGGTGATGGGAATTCGGTCTCTATTTTTTTTCAAATCACGAACGTACTGACCTCGTCTTGGTTCATCCTACATCTCGGGAGGATTCTGCACTCGAAACCACACATGTTGAAGAGCAGATTAGGGTTGTCCTTCGAGTAGACCGATACGAAGCTGCCGTCCCACTGAACGGTCGTGACAGACCTCGGCAGTCGATTCTTGATATCCCAGAAAACGGCGCGACCGAGATTCACGTCGTGCTTCATCAAACGCATACGAGAATCCCGAGGCCAGCATTTCTTGTTGTTGTACCCGACGATATTCTCATTGTTGGGGTCGGGATGTTCAGTGAGGTATCTCTGGATGAGATCCCTGGCTTCATCGGCCGTGAAGCGGAAGAAAATGTGGACACGATCGATATATCTGGAGTACAGTCTGATCGGGTGGTTCTCCTCCGTGGGAACATCCTGGAAGCTCAGGAAATCATTCGGGACTTGGGGAGGGCCGGCCATCTCGGACGCCCGCTGCAGTCCGAGAAGGAGGAGGTCGAGCACCAGGCCGTAATACTGGACGATGAACGACGAAAACTGGAGACCGCGGATGATACCGTACTGGTTCGTGTGGTTCATGTCTTTGTAATTGATGACGACGTTGTTCTTTGCCGTCATGTAATCGGCAATGTTGTGGTCGATGATGAGTCGCAGCAGTCTGTTGAGAACCGTGATGTCGATTTTCTCGTAGAGTTTTTCAAAGCGGGATTCCATCATCACAGCGCATTCACCCTCGCCCGTCTCCCAGACGTCCTTGAGGTTATTGATACCCTGGCACCATTTGTATACGAGCAGCGGCGGCGGCTCAGAGTCGGCCGGTTTGATCCACGGTGGGAACAAACGTCGCTTATCGGCTTCGTACCACAAATATTGATCGAGGTAGGCGTCTGTGATCTTCTCCAAAGGCTCGACGTCGTACACAGGAATGAGGTGACTGTAGAGATCCATGAACTCGATACCGACCTTTGGGAAAAAGAATTCTCCGCATCAGAATGCGATCGAGCAGGCGTATTAAGACGCAAGCAAAACTAAATTAACTTATTCAGAGACATCCTCTCCTTGGGACACCGCGACTCGGCCACCTGCTCCGGAGGTTCCCGCCTGAGGCCGGTGTTCACATTCGCCTTTTCGTCGTCACAGCTCGTAGAGTCGCCGCGCAGACGTTCCGGTACCCACTGTCTCAGATTGAAAACTTTACTCTGAATCACGAGCAAAAGGTCAGAGATACGTACCCGTTTGAAGCCTTCAAAGCGAGAGGATCAGAAAATCTACTACTTACAGTGTGCGATTTTTTAAATAAGAAATATAGAGAGGGACGTTTCCCGATAGAATTATTGGACATCAAAGAATCTAGTACGAAAATCTCTGGGAGAATTCGCTATGAAGGGATCAAACAGAATAACGTTCAAGACCATCACGATATCTAATCGGATGCTTCAATCAGAAAGTCATCTTCACAGTCAGCTTCTATCGGGTGCTTCGGAACGTTACGCGGGAGCTTTAGAGCTCAGAATTTTCTCTCAGCTCAAACCGACGGCGGGAACCTCTGGAACCAGTCCGGAGTCGACAGTGACCGCGAAAAGGATCGGCCAACCGCGAGGGAGACGAATTTCTATCCGCCATCATGCTCATCATCGAAAATCATCACGGACAGTATCCACCAGGGAAAAACTCGATCGAAGAGTAACTCACCTCCTTGAACGCTCTCTGCGTGAGCAAATGACGTTTGATGCGAGAGAGCGCCTCGTGAGGGTTGTCGTAGGCCTGCTCGATGAGACCGAGTTCTTCTCGCTGGCTTTGATTCAATCTGCTCTTGACCGAATAAGCTTCTTTCAGTCGTTCCAACGCCAAAATCAGAAGTTTAGTATCGTGCTTGTACGACAGCGGCGGGAACGGCACCGGAGAGAATCTACGACTCTCGAGCCAGTGCACGGTCGTTGTGTAGATGGCGACGGCTTCCTCGGCGGAAATGTACGGACCGTCCTTGAGGTAATTATGCTGCCGTTCCTGTTCGGCTTTTAGGTAAAGCCTCGTCAAACGTCCCAAGTTCTTTTTGCATACGGTTTTGTCTACGGTGGCCCCGCGACGGATACGTTCACGGTTGTAATGCGCTGTATTCGTCCACCAATCCGCCTTCATTTTGACGTAACGGAGAATCATGCTTTCGATGGGAATGGGGAGTCCGGGAACTTTCCACGGGATGTTCGCCTTCCAGCACCGCCAAGCCTCGCTCAGATGCTGGAGAATGGTTCTCGCCTTGTTCTGTTTGATTCCCTCGGGCATCATGTCGATGATGTCGTGCATGACGGAGGCGCGAAGCTCAAGATCGAAGTGAGACTCCACTCGTTGTTTGGTGACGGTTTTCGCGACTCCTTTCGAATGACGACCTTCGAACTGTCGGGATAGCAAGTTTCCGAGCCACCTCTCCAGAAGAGGAGTGATCCCTCTGAGGAAGAACAGCCACACCCTCCAACCCGGAGCCCAGAAACCGCAGCCGGGGCCTTTGCCGACAGATCCCGAATTGAATCGATAGTAGATCAGATGTTTGATGTCCTTGCACATCCGGATCTGTCGCATGAGCTTGTACTTGTAACGGTACATGCCGGTGAGCTGACCGACGTGCGCGAAAATGTACTGGAGACCGTCAGCCAGTTGGAAAGCGTCGACGTTGTTCAGACGGTATTGGACGTGAGAGTCGACGATGAGCTTGGTCAGTTTCAAAATTTCTCTGCACAGATGGAAAGCGTTCCCGAAACGGGATTTCTTACGCTCCTTGGTCGTGAGCGTCTTGACCGGCTTCAAGTTGAAGTTGTAGTCGAGATGGAGATAGTTCAGGTTTTTACGATGGATCAACAAGTTCAACATGTTGTAACCCTGACGGCACACCTGCAGACCCGCCTCAACCCAATCTATGTTTGTCGATTGGAAGAACTTCGTGGATTTGAAGGATCGGAAAAGGAAACGTTTCTTCTGCGCTTTCGGTGGTCTGTGGTGGAGCGCGTTCAGCACGTAGTACTTCAGGAGCTTTTGATATGAGACCCTAACCTGAAACGAGGTAGACACGACGCTTTGAGCTATGACCTTCCGTTTTACAGGCACGACGCCGACGTCAAAAGCCTCGAAGAGTGGAGCTTTCGTGTGGATCTGGACGGAGCACAGATTTCCGGCTTACCTTGACCGGCATGTTCGGTGGACAATGTTCTCTGTACCAGCCCTTGATGAGAGGAACATCGAGTGCTCGTTTGGTGCGATCCGATCTCAGGTTGAAGGGTCGCGGGGCCCAGAGCAGAGCGATCCCATTCGCCGTATTGTCCGTGTACAGCGGACACTCTTGGAGGAACGGTCGCGCATGTTCTGGGAGCTCGAACTCCTCGTCGTCATCCGGGAGCAAGTCGTCCATTGGGGGCAACTGTTTCACAAAAGAGGAATTAGTTTCTGATTAAGAGCCCTAAGGGTCGACGCTCCGGAGGCTTCAAACCGCAGAGACGAGGGGTTGTGAGTTCGGGCGGGAAGAGGGGGAAGGGGGTTCCGTCGCTCACCTTGGTCGAGTTCCGATGAGCAATAGGATTGATGAGCGGGTCGTAATAGAAGGCCGGCAGATCCGGATCTTCAGTCTTGATGAAGACCACATTCGGAGTGTGGTACCACGACAGGTGTACGTGCACGTTGGGCATATTGTTGTACAGGTACGGGAAAGCGATCCGATACTCGGTCCGAATCGGTTGCCGGATAATTATTTTGTTTATGTCGTTGAACTCGTTCCAATCTTCGTCGGCTGGATTTATGTCTTTCACTAGCGGCTCGAACTTCGGCCCACCGGGCACCGCCATGTTGAGAGCCTTGGCCGTGAAGAAACTCTTTATATCGAAAAGATAAAAATAATTGTCGTCGACGAGGTCGGTCAGAAGCGAGTTGGCTATGCGGTACAGCGATGCCATCTGAGGCAAGGTCAGGTTCCATTTACGGTACGTCGATCCGTTAACGTATGCTGACTCGTCTATGAGTGGCTTGTGGTCGTAGAGCCATTGGGCGACGGGAACATCCTGCATTAAGGAATACGCTCGATCGGTCATTTTGTTCTCCCCAGTGGCATCCGATTTTTACACAACTTGAATCTGTCCATATATTATTCTATCGACATGGACTATTCGTCAGAGAAGACGGTGAATAGTCGAAGTCGAGATCGCAGGGGCCGATTGCGGGCTCGAAATCTCACCTCATCAGTATCCAAGCCCATTTGAACAGCTTCGAGTGGCTCCACGTCGAGGACGTTGTCCGCGTAATCGAGCGGAGGTTCTTCGTCATCGAACGGAGGGAATCGCATGCGCTTGAAATGACGACGATCACGTTTCTCACGTCTCATCATCATCCACATCGACCTGAGGAGACGATCTCGTCCCTTAGGATCTCGGACGAAGGATGACGTAAAATTCACGGGAGCTCTCGTTGACGCTTCACGTGGACACAGCTACTCGACTTACCCCCATTGCGCCATGTACACGGGCTCGATAACCCACGGAATCTCGTTGACGAACGTGATCGCTCCGGTGATGTGGTAGAGCACATTCACATCCCGAATCTGCTCCCAAGGCATCGGCATGTTCTCCAGAAGCTTGAGAACGGCATGAGGCATGTATTTCAAGGCCCCCAGGTACACTCGCTTGTCGTGACGGTACTTTCTGGACGTCATGTCGCCGTGATCTCGGATAATTTTTCGCAAATGCTCGGGAGGCATGTCTTCCTTCTGCGCATCGACGAAGCCGAATTTCCTCTTTTCCGAGTAGCGTTTCGACTGAAGCTGCTGCCATTTCCGGGCTGTGGAGATTACGAGCCGGAATTCAGACCCAGCCCCAAATAAATAACAAGACGCCGAGGCGAAGCCGAAGCGGGAGATTCTCTGACGGTACCTTTCTCCTGGAGTTTGGCTTCCGTCATCTGCGATGGGGGAAGGCCCGGTGGCGGTTGCGGTGGGGGAATCCGTGCGACGCCGGGCGGAACAAGTTGTTGTTGCTGCTGCTGTTGCTGCTGTTGTTGTTGCTGCGCCATCTGCGCGTGCACATGAGCAGCCAGTTGTGCAGCTTGATGTTGATTGGCTTGTTGCTGCATAGCCATGGCCTGCATCGTCGCTTGCATGTATGGATCCCCCATCGGGAGATACGGCGGCAACCCCGCCATGTCTCACTCGAAAATTCCTGAAATCACGAAACGATACGTCAGACTCCCCCAAGCTTGAATACAGTCAGGACAACAGTTTCCACCCGGTCCTCCGGGGATCGTCTCAAGGAGACCGGCGAACGCATGTCGATTCTAAGCCGTGCGTGAACGTCAGCGACCGATAGTCCACGCCGAAAGAGCCCAAGTCCCGTGACGTTTAGTCAAACGGCGGCGCGGCGCCCGCTCCACGATTGAGGCATCCCGCTAGCTAGAACCTTCGCATCCGCGACTCGATGGGAGGCTCGCTATATCCTCCGGACTGAAGATTTAATTACGGGGGTAGTTTGCGACCGAACGCGATGAGATAATTCGATGGGAAATGGCGCTCGAGGAGCATGTGCCGGTCTCGGAAAACGCGCTGATCGGATATCGGTGAATCTTCGTGTGTTGAGTTCGACTGATGATTCCTGAGGCTCTGGAGGCTGGGGACGACTCACCTCGAGGGACGGTACACCCGAATCACCGCTTGTTTCTCGTAAAAACCAGTCACGAAATCGAAACCTTTGTAAAACTGCGAACCACCAACACTGCGCTGGTGCTCGAACAGCAGAAGCTCAGCCCACCACAACAAACATAAACATGGCGCTGGCTTTTCGATTTCTCGTTTCAAAATTTTGGCGCCAACCCGTAGATGAATCGGTGCAATCGTTGAGCGGAGCTGCTTTGCTTCGATTGAGCCACTATGTTTGCCGAATGGAACCCCGCTTTCTCTTCTCGCTCGTTCGTGCAGGAGACGTCTCTGATCGAACTATCCATGATAATGGCGGTTCAATAGGCTACTTCCCGATTTCGCCGCCCAGAGATCGGTCATGTTTGAGCGAATGATACCTCCATCCTTGACATTCCGGGTTCACCGTGCACCTGAGACGCGTTACGAAGTTTCGCCTTCGATGGCCGTCTTATCTGAATTCCCTCTGTTCTTCATGCCGAACTTCCAGAAATCGCGTCCTCCCCACCTTTGGGAACTCTATTCCAGTCCGCAGACAATGACCTCACAGCGAAGAGGAGCTCGAAACAAGGCGCTGGTCTTATTGGTCGCCCCCGTCCCGGAGAATGCGACCAATCGCTCGGCTCCTTCTCCACAGGGTCTCAATCTGGATCTGCAATCTTGGAACGAACGAGGAATTTCGTGCGATTTCGAAAGCAAGGCTTGGGATGGATAATATGTAGTTACGAAATCGTTCTTCGGAAGTCACGGTCACTGAGGATCATGAGGACCGCCATCCCTCTGAATCCATTTCTCGGATCGTCGATAAATCGGTCGCGCTTGGATTTTCGGACACTTCCACACCTGAGTAACTTGGTGACGAGTCCCCCGGAGCTCTCCCGTACGCGAGACTTGATCGTTCCTGGGTCGTCCCTTGGAACCCACTATTACATAGAGCCCTTGCTTTGGACCTTCGGCTCCTGATCCCGCATCTTCTGGGAATAGAGTCGCTGTGGCTGGCGATTGGCGATGCTTCGTAAATTTTCGTTCCTCTCTCCCCGGAGATCTTTCTGTAGAGGCATGTGTTGATGCTCGAGAGCACGGAATATTCCCTGTACACTGTCTGGGATCGCGACAAGGGTACGCGGTGACGAGCGAGACGTACCTTTCCAGTGAATAATCATCTTAAGCTACGAGCGAGAGCTTAACGCATCTTCGGCGTCATATCGATGCCAATACAGGTTCGACAGAAATGTCAGTCTTCAGACCATACCCACCGGAGAATGGGGTTCGGATATCATTATCCATATCTAGAGAACGAGCTCGACGATGGGAACCAGTCCGAAATTAGAAATAAGACAATTTTGCATTACGATAGGGGATGCGAGCGAATCCGAAACATTAGGCGGAGCTTAGAGGATTACCAGGGAGATTTGGCAGACGTTCGTTCGCCGATGGCCAGAAGCGTAGACTTCTCGGTTTATTTCTGCATTCGGCGACGCCAATCATGGGTGCTACCGTCCTGACTCAATGTGTTCTTCAGGGCATATGTGCTTGCCTCAGCTACGATGCGAGTAGTGAAGGTGGATATTATATATACGTAGTAAAGTGGATTTCCAGTACTATCATTGATACCTGATGCTGATACTCGCTGATTACCCGCTCCGATCGAATTTCCAGCCTCGTGTTTCGGCCCAATACCATCGTATCGGCACTTCGCCTCGCGAACAGACTACGGCTACGCCGTCGAGCCTCACGCTGCAGCCGCCGTCGTCCCCCTGTCGGTCCCAGGTTCGTTTGCCGAATGTCTCGACCCGATTTCATCGTCGAGTTCAGGATTGGAATTGGTATAGTATGGAGAGTCGATAACGAGCCGGATGATGTGGAACGTAGATCGGGAAAAATAATATACTCTCCGTAGATGGCTGTCAACCTTCGCTCTTCTTCGCATTCCAACGTCACACAATTCGCTATCCCAAAGTCAAGAACATCAATGAGTCGGATGAGCTACTGCCTGAAATCCAGAGGAAACTCGCCGATAAAGACAACAAGGTGATCTAGCGCTCCGACATAAACGATGAATTTTCCCTGAATTCAGTCCTCCGCGAATCGGATATTCGGAGTGTCAGCATGACGTCGTCGTCCCTCTCACATGAACTAATGGGCCTCGATGAGATCCGGCTTCGAGTCTGTAGATTCCCTAAGCCCCTCCCCAGGCTGATGACTTGACATCACTGACTTCACCCTCAGACTGCGAGTCGAAGGTGCAATTGTTCTTGACCAATGCGATATTGGTTCCCTCTGCTTTTCCAGGGTAAATTGTGCGAGAGTGATATCCAGTCCATCCTGAACTGGACCAATCCATTCACTCTCGGACACGACGCTCTGATTACGGGCAGTGGCAGGAAGGTTGTCCGCGAACAAGGCAAGTATCGAGGATTTCCCCTCGCGAATCCCACAAATCATGAAGTACATAGATGTCCGACATTCTCAAGGCTTCCTCCTCCGATGAATCATCCGTGTAATTTGCAGTCAAGCGTCTACGGAAACGCTTCCCCAATGTCTTCAAGAATAGAACTTCTCTCGAAAATGTAGTCATGGACTTCAGTGAAAAAGGAAACCGCTCATTCGAAACGGGCGAAATATTTCTTCGGGTGAGTCTGTGGGAGTCTAGTTGGAAACTAGAGCACAGGGAATCCGGCGATTTCTGAAAGCGACTCCGATGCGATACATGAGAGCTGCGGAAAACAGAAAACTTCTCTTCCCCTCAGGAATGGTTCGGCGATGCGATTTATGAGAAGGAGATCGCCGAAATTGTGAACAACCAGACGAACTTGCTGAACAACTTCAAGGACAGCTGTGATGAAATGCTCGCTGTACTATTCATTCGCTATCTTACGATTATTGATTCTTGATAATATTGATCTCGAATGTCTATCTTCTGCGCGGGCTCATCCCGTGGGAATCGAAGACTCTCATCTCTAAAGTATTTCCTTGAAACTCGGTAAGGCAACGGGCTTCATAGCATCGACCCCTCAAGGAGAGGCTCTGAAGGACAGTAAACCTTACAAGAAGTTCAAGAGAACGATCGAGAAAAGACTAGGTTTCGATTTGAGGAAAAGTGAGTTTACCGATTACGAACATCGAGGGTGTCAGTCGGCATGAATCCGGGAGTTGCGGGGGAAATGCGGAACCATACACCCGATACGCGCACAGCGTGATAACCGAGAGCCCAGCCGTATGATAACCGTGTTGTCGGATATTTCAGAACAGCTGAAGATAATCATGACACAGTGCCGTTTCGAGATGGTTTCCTTCAATAGATCGCCGTGGTGCGCCCTATTCTCGGATGAGGATTTCCGGATCCTCGAGCTGCTGGACGACGCGGAATCTTTCGACGAAGATTCGTATGGAACACCACGTAACCAGAGAGTCGCTTGTCCATTAGCAGCTGACATGTTGGACTATATAAAGTAAGGTCTCTTCTTCTCATCGGGATAAGTGTGCCTAGTTTGAGTGTCTACGGAATCGAGCTGCGGGGAAATTTCCTCATAGAGCGGAGTTCCCTCACAAGCCCCCTCCTCAGGCAATCTGCAGCGGCGAACACCACCGACATCCACCCGAAGGTTGTACTGCACTTCAGCCATTCCGGTAAATGCGATGAGGAATGCGGATGGGTTATGCGCGGTCATGGTAAGAGGTGGGATCCATTCTGGATTACGTCGCAAACTTGGCTTGAATTCTAGGTGCACTGAAAAAGCTCGTCACTCTGTTTGGTATCGGGCGGGAATTCGATCAAGACTGCTCGAAAAGAGCATGGAGGCTATCAAGTATCTCGCCGTTCAACGCCAACTTCAATGCCGTGTACTACAAATGCCTGGGAGAGCAGAAGGACAAGGTTGCTGTTCTGCTCAACGAAAAGGTAGGCGGCGGAGCTATAGGTTTTCCCGACGGCGGCGGTAGAGGACTTTTTTTCCTCTCGATGGGGTCCTAGAAGGGAGGAGTCGGGAACGGACCATGGAGCAGATCGGGTGTAGGGATTAGGTTAATTAGTGTTCCTGATCGAAGCCAAGGGGAAAGGGAGAGAGGATCGATCGGTGGATGGGGAGGCAGAATGTGATTCTCATCCGTTTTCTGATCGTTTCCCCATTCGATTTTTTCAGATCATGAAGCTTGATGGTTGCGGTGGTGACTTGTGCGATGCAACAGACTTCGTGGCTCTACTGGAATCAAAGGCGAAGAATTGTGACTTGAAGCAGATCTGCTCAACCTGATAATCGAGACGAGCTCGAAGTCCGGAGCGATCGTCGACGAACACCCGACGATCATGTGTCTCCAGACCGCTTCTTTTCTTCCCATTAGAGGCTTTTCATGTATTACCTGATTTATTCTCGACATGGTGAACTCAAAATTAAATTGTAATCGGTGGTTCTTAAGGCATCGGAGCTGACGGTGACTTCATTTGGTAAAAGTGGCGCTTGAGTCTCAGAGTCATAGCGCTCAGAAATTCATTGGACGAGACGTATGATCTCCGCAGTCCTGATTGAGCTCGCCCGTGAGGAAGGTCTCGATCGCACAACGACGACCAACAGCGGGCGCGAAGCCGACGTCCCGCAGGTCCAGGGGCGTACGCAGGGGGGGGCTAAAGGGGCTATAGCCCCCTCCCAGATGGTTTCTTCGTAATGCTGTAGTATAGGAGCGAATCGCCATATTGGATTTCAGCCCCATGCGGAGACCCGATCTAGCCCACCCCCCCAAGGAAATCCTGCGTACGCCGCTGCGCAGGTCTGAGCTGAAATCCCCTCGTTCGATCCATATCAATGTTTCTCGCCTGGTATCTGTGACCAGAAATCGAAATCTCGAGCATGTGTGAAAATCGAGCATGTGTTCTCACCGAGATCCTTTGGCGCAGCTTAGTTAGCTCGTCTGAAGCTCTGGGACCAAGCTCCTAGGGGAAGTGCTCTGCTGCCTCGGACATCGAGAAACAGATCTGGTCGCCTCACCTGGTGATACCTGCGGGAAATCCGCTCTTTTTTTTCGTGACGAAACGAGTCCTCGACGGAGCTATTTCATCGATGGGAAGATCAATCAATCAAAGCTTGGTTTTGCCAAGACAAGGATCGGGGATCCGGGATATTCGCGATCGGTTCGGGTTGTGTTTTTGACAGCCTGGCTCGCTCGCGCCTCGCTCCGAAGCTCAAGTCCATATCACGGTCAGACGTCGCGGAGCGATTCCCGATGGAGGCGATCGATAGTGGCCTCGGAAACTGATGACTACAGCATCAGTAGACCGATCCTCCAGCAACCTTCCGGGGATCTTCAGCGAGAAGATGCCTTCAGTATTTCCGAGAACTCTGGACACGGCAGCGATACCTCCAAGTACGGGAATAGAGCGATAGATTATACTCCGCATGAGCGGCTCAAACGGCTCCTCGCGTCGTGGAGAGACCTACTCTCCCGGAAACTTCATCGAGCGATTCGGCATTTTTCCACGCGGAGACCCGAAGCGAACCCCCAACGGATTGAGACTAGGGACCGTGCCGACGCGATATTCGCGCGCTCCAGCATTTGTGAAACAAGCGCGCGACTGATTGGCCCACAGCGATACGACTAGATGCTGCCGGCAACATGGAAGAGACTTCGAGCCGGAAACTGAGCGTTCTCTGACTCGGGCTCTGCGAGTTCGCAATTCGTTGACACTACAGAAAGGAAGCCATTACACTCATCGCACATTCTCCGATTCACGGACCCTCTGGAAAGTTCCAAACCGTAAGCCTTTTCACGACGTCAACCGCTCTTTAACAGGATGCTTGTAGAATTTCACGAGAGCATAGTTCAGAGCGCCGCCGGAGCGGAATTCTCACAAACGAGACGGCTGCAGTCTACCGGAGCTTTTGTGTACGAAATGAGAGCTCCCTACCGGGATGGATGAACGCGAGGGAGTCATTGAAAAACCGAGCAGAGAAGAATTTTCGAAATCTCTACCTTTCGTGAGAGAAGGGAGGAAGCCTCATTGAGGCAAAAGTGAGGCCGAACGGCTGGGTTTTGGAGTTCGGCTTCTGAGGAGGAGTACGGAGACATAAGGAACACCTAATAATGTGGTCGGTGTCTTCGGCAGCCGGCATCATCTCGAAGCGGTGAAAGGCGCGAGAAAAGTGGAGAGGAACTTTTTTCTGCTGTTTTGTTTACTGGGCGCCATTGCCCGTTGTCGAACGTTGGAGGTTCCGCGCGACGAACGACGAATGAGGAAGACAACTTTTTGTGGACCGGAATTATTTAGAACTTCTCAGTCTCAGCCCAGACTTGACATCTTCAGAAATATCCCGTAGTTGTCGCTCTGAAATCCTCCGAAGGCGAAAAATGGTAGATTTCTCAAGTCTCGAAGTGCCCACCGAAGGCATTCGTCACCGGCAAGCGAACACTCAGGCGTTTATTTCTTCTAGAGACTGTGGAAAGGTGAGCGTTTCCCTATGTCTTTCTGATCGAGATTCTCACTTGATTCTTCTCCCACCCGAGTTTCCCTCGATATCCGTGCTAGATGAAAAAGGCCATCTGCCTGTCCCGCAGCATAACCTGCTGGCTCTAGCCGGTGTCTCTCGGTCGTTCAGAAATCAAAACTGTTTCGTATAAATGGTCGCTGCGGACACCACCCAGACTAAGGACTTCCGTTTCAGGGCACTTTGTACATTTGCGAGAGTCGCGTTTCGTGGAGATCTGACGCCGGAACGGGGTTCTCGCTCGAATACCCCCGCATTCAGATTCACGCGGTGACGCGAGACCCAATATTGACGAGTGCTCCCTGCCTGTACGTTGTGATAGATGAGGAACTCCTTGACATCTACATGGGGAACCAGAATGGCGACGGTGAGCTTCTGGAAATATATTCCGATATCTCGCACTTTTATGGGTTCGCAGCCGCATTGGGACCACCGGCAAGATATAATAATAATGAAGGCGAACATTTCTTCTTCCTTTGGCGCAGGAAACCTAGATGAGCACGAAGAAGGTCAGGAGCGGGACTCTTCTTTCGCGATCAGATTCGTCCCCGAGTCTGACACCGTCCTGGATTCGATGTATAAAGCGATGAGTGATTGTCAAGCGCTCCATCCGGACCCCTGTTCGGACTCTGAGCCCGAAGCCGAGGATGAAGATGAATACGACGTGGACGAGGCCGAACAAGGGAACGGGGTCGACGAGAACGGGGACGGAGACGCCGACCAGCCTATGGACGGTCAATTCGACGATGCGGATTGAGACCTCAAACTCGCGGCTGTCGTAATTCTCCGAAACGTTCCATGATGCGACCTGTTGTAAAGTAAAAGCTCGGGGGGCTGGCTCAGTTCAGGATGATCTACCGGGTGCCATCGCGTCCGGACTGATAGAGGGGGAAGGAGCTCCAAACAAGAGCTAGAAGATCTTGGACCCCCTCGCGGTTCGGATGGCGTGATCTCCGGAGCGGATTCGGGCTTCCCCCTTTGGAAGTCATTGGATGCCCGATTTACATTCTCGCTCAGAGCAGGTCCTCCGCTCAACACCTTGTATATGCAGCTGTTTTCACAATAAACTGACTCCAGTCTCTCGAAGATTGTTGAATGCCTGTAGCTGCTGGACGTTCATAACGAAACATTCGCGTTCTTCACCTGGACACGGCAGCTTACGAGCTCCGGTCCGTCGAGAGTCATGAACATGCGGAGAATGGGGAATTGGCGTTATCCTGAAGTGCGATCACCTTGCAGATAATGGTAAAAATCGGAATCATCGGGGGAACTGGTCTCGAGAAGCCGGACCTTCTCAAGAACAGACAGGAAAAATATGTGGACACACCCTTCGGAAAGGTCAGATCAAGCGGCTTTCGATCGCATCGATCGACAACTGCGCTCCGCGCTGAACTATGCGTCCCTGGCAGAATCGCTAGACTGAGAGTTTTCGAATGAATATTCAAGTCATCCATCATTTCCTCCCTCAGCCCTCCGATGCTCTGATAATCGGGACAATCGAAGGTGTCGAGGTGGTCATACTGTCGAGGCACGGACGGAGACACGACATCAATCCTACGAATGTCAACTTCAGAGCGAATCTTTTCGCTCTGAAAGAAGAAGGCTGCACCCTCATCGTTGTCACGACGGCGTGCGGCAGTCTGCAAGAGGTTTGTGAAAGACGGAGAACAATACAAACTCGAAAACCGCGGGCCATATTCCCTTCTAAGTATTCGTTGATAAATTACAGCAAATCAAGCCCGGTGACTTTGTAGTTCCGGATCAGTTCATAGATCGAACAACGAAACGCATTCAAACTTTCTACGATGGAGAGCCGGACCACCTGAAGGGGGTTTGTCACGTACCGATGGCGGAGCCCTTTTGCAAAGAACTACGCGAAATCATCGGTGAGAGTCCCGTGATGCGGACACAGGTTCCTGATGGTCGTCCGGTTGGGTAGTGAACAGTATGTAAACGAGATCGCTTCCAGCCGAAACCTGCTGTGAACTGAGCCTGGTCTGTCACCGCGAGGGAACCGTCATTTGCATCGAAGGTCCCCGATATTCTTCGAAAGCTGAGAGCAAACTATTTCGCTCCTGGGGAGCCGATCTGATCAACATGACCATCGTTCCCGAAGTGGTCTTAGCTGCAGAATTAGGTGAGGAAGCTTTCCCGATCAACGCAACGATCGCATGTAGCTCCCGTGGGAAGCTTGCGACCACACCGGAGGTTCCGAGGACGGAATCAGTGACTGGATCATTTCAGCTCTGCCGTACGCGTCGCTGGCCATCGCCACCGACTACGATTGCTGGCGAGAACACGATGGACATGTTGACGTAACATTGGTGATGGAGAACCTGAGGAGCTCGTCTCAACATGCTTGCCGAGTTCTGAAAGCGGCCATCTCCAAAATCGCCAGCTTTGACTGGACGAAGGTCCAGCAGGAGCTCAGGAAGCAGATCGAAGTCGCCGTGTCACACCCTGAGTGAGTAAAACCCCTGACGAGGGCTCATCGGGGGTGGAGAATTCCCCTCCCCCCAGAACACCGCCTTCGTATGTTGAGGTGTATGGGAATCATCATGATTCTTCCCCCCCCCCAAAAAAAAATCCTATACACGATCCTGGATGCTACCTTTCCGATCATCGGAATTATGGATGACGATTTGTATGCTCGCCTATGACGACCATTTCCATGTACTTAGATGACAGAGGAAATAAAGAACGAATTTGACGCTACGATTATCAGTCCTCCGAAGAATGAGTCACAGTCGAGACGAAATCCATTGCTAGTGTCTAGGACGTTGTGCTCACGGCTCCACATGTCGGAAATCTTCGCAATATTCAGTCGATGCTCAATGATGAAACGATTTTTCGAGACACCTCGGAGTTTTATTTAAAGACCCTTGGCGGCGTCGATCTTGGCTTTCTTCTCAGCCAGCTTTTTGAAGTAAGCTTTTCGGACGGGCTTCCTCAGCTTTCCGTACCTGCAGTTGATCAACGTGTTCATTTTCTTCTTGAGGTACAGCACCTTGTGCCTCTGGAAATCGTTGAGATTTTCCCTGGTCTGACGTGCGGTCAGCTTCTTGTAGAACAGGGATTCCTTGAATTTCTTCTCAACATCGTTCTGTAAGGAACATGTCACATGATCATTCACCGGAAGACAGATCGGAATTCATTCGAATCCTCATGGCATGGACACAACGAAAGGAGTCACGCTGCTCCGCAACCTACCTCCTCGAAACGCTTCTTCACAATGATGTCTTTCGTCCCCGAACAAAAACCGCCAAGCACCTGAGGAGTCAGGCGGATGTGCTTGAAGAGTTGGGGCTTCCTCTTCAGGCCAGGACCGGTGACCAGAGCTCGGTTCTGGTCGACGACATCAACGATGACACCGAGTTTACCCTGGTCCTTGCCACGGGTCAGGTAGACCACGCGACCGATCTCCACGTAGTATCGGTTGTACGGCTGCAGAAAGAGGAAAACTATCACTGAGAAGCGATCTCGAAGCCCCCCACGAGCTTACGACCCGGTTCCGGAGTTCGACACAGCGGATCGCGGTGCACACCACCGGGATTCACCCGACCAGGTCAACAATGAACGAGTATCTCCCAAGGAATCACGTCTGAACGAAACGGAACTACGAGAAGGCAAAAGGCGGAGCACAGTAATGAATTTTCTCTCAAAAAACCCGACTCCGGGTCTCCACGTGTTCAAGGCGCTTCACATTTTCGAGACTTCCATCGCTACTGGCAGCGAATTTCGGCGATTCTTATCCAGCGCCGATGCTCTCGAATCCCGGATGGCAACGAAGACCCAAATCACAACTTGTAGTGGGCTGATTCCACGGTAGAAACCCAATTTCAAGCCAGAATTTCGACCAAACATACCATCTTCACCGACTCCGGAGTAAAAAGAAACCCAACAGCGGAAGTAGCCGCGCTTTCGGATCGAGTGGTTTCGATTCTTATAAACCCAGGCTGATCGTAATCAATGAATGTTCAGTGAATCAAGCGGTCCGGGGATGTCGGATTTATGGTCGCGCAACTTATGGTCACGCTCGGTTTCGGTGATGAAGCCGTCCAGGGGAGTACGCGAACCCGATTTTCCCTAGGAAGGGCGCGCTTCATGAAGCGGACGAACGGTATATCCCAACGTAGGTCCATATACTTTTGCGCTGCGCTAACCTTAAACAACGGAGGCGGCCATATTGGTAGAGGGCGCTGGTAGCCAGCTGCTGTGGTAGTCCTGCGCGGCTTTCAAAACCCCGGGAATCATCGTCGTGGTGGGGAACCCAGAAATTATCGGAGTAGTGAGCACAACGTAGTGCCCTCGGCGAATTCGACTCCGAAAATCCTTTGGTAGCGATACGCGACGATTATCGGAGTTCTATCCGTTAGAGCGCAGAGTCCTCAGGAGGATCTGATCCGAGAATCGTCCAGATGAGAAACCCGAATATCATTAGACTCCTGACCACGGAGCACAGAGCCTAGGAGTCAGTCTAATATATAAAGTAAAGTGTTTGTGGCTTGGTTTCTCCTCGATGCGCGTCCAAACCGCTGGACCGATTGTCTGGAAACTTGCGCAGTCTGAGAGTTACATCGAGGAGACGGACATAGGCATACCAAAAACCGCCAAGAAAGAAAGATGAAATTAATATCAAGCCTTTTCCGAGATGCGAATGAACACCATCGTTTTGCTTGGACGACGACATCAATTGTATGATGGATGTATGATTTTCCCACCCACTACATTCACATATTTTCTCCACTTGGAAGTTTCATATTCGGCCGTTTCGAGCTTGGACCACGAAGAGACAACTCGATGGCGATTCCGTAGTCATTTAAATACCTCCATCCACCTCCTTTTTATCGACATCCGTTTTAAGCGGGCTCCGATCACAGTCAACAAGGTCGTTCCCAAACCGGGGGAAAAACGAAGCCTGCGCCCCTACAAGCAAGTGATTCTGCGGAAATGCGACTTCGCTCTTCATTGAACACTCCACGATCCTCGGAGCACGATGGACACCTGAACGTTGGAGATCCCCAAGTCAGTCCGGAATCCGCCAACACCAAGAATGACTCCGAGGACTGCGTTGACGACAAGGACACTCAGGGATGCGGTTCTACCCTCCGAAGCTCTCGAAGTGACGCCGTTGTAGGATCATCCGTTCCCGCTAAGCGAATGAAGATGAGCACTGGTGCCGATCTCACGGTTACGAAGGAAAACTCCGATATCCTCACAGAGGCCGGTCCCGGAGAGAATTCAATCGGTGACCCTGATGACTGATGACAGTCTGCCCCCTGAGTTGAATGGAGACCGAATCTCTTTCCACCGATCAAGACAGCGAGCACCACGATACGTTCGAACACGCCGTGCTCCGACACATTTCAACGTCGATCCTTTTGATGCGCCCCTTATCGTCCACCTATGGAGTGCCCACGATGAAAAGTGGTATGTGGAGGAGAAACAAAAAGCTCTACGACGACACAGCAACATTTTGTCAGTAACCACTACTGCCGTGTTCGTAATACAGATGGGGTTTTTTGCTCTACAGCAGCGGTTCCCAACCTGGGAGCCGCGGGACTTTTCTGGGGTAGCCGCCGAATCTGGTAGCCGCAGCTCCCCTAGGAGCCGCGAGACTTTTTCTTGGGGAGCCGCGGACTAATTTCTGGTGTAGGTCCGGGCCGTCAGGGTTTGTCAATTCCAAGGGAAGGTTCCGAAATGGATCGACTTCATCTGCCACGGTTGTGTTCCCGCCATTCAGCCCAACTCTATCGAGGAGTGAACGAAGCTAAAATAAAATCTCACTCGCTTTCACACCACCGCACGGAGCACCTTTTTCCTTGTGTCTTCCCCGCAGAGAACACTTCATCCACCACTAAGCTTTTTAATGTGAGCTTCGAGAAGCTCAACTCTTCTCTTCCGTCGAGAGAGACTGGATTCATTTGTTAGAGAACTCTGGTATGCCCGCGAGGCTACCTTCTCCAGCCAGGAGCTGCTCGTCTCCGGAGATTCCCATTCAGTCTCTTTAACGGGGAATTGACGGGAGGGAGGTGGAATATTTGTAAAAAATATATGTACGTGCAAGTTATGAGTGCCGGAATTGAGCTGCGAAAGGTCCTTTTAGGGGGAAAAGAAGGGAGAGTAGGGAGGAGCCGCGGGAGCCGCGTGGGCACTGGGTATCCTGGGAGCCGCGGGAGCCGCGTGGGCACTGGGTATCCTGGGAGCCGCGGGAGCCGCGTGGGCACTGGGATCCTGGGAGCCGCGGGGGAATTCTGGGTTCGCTAGGGAGCCGCAGAGTGAGAGTCATGATGCAGTCACGGCTTCTTTTCAGTAGGATAAGCTTTGACCCACCTCGCCGAGCCCATGGGACTGATGCATTAGAGCAGCGATTCTCAAACTTTTTTCTCCCACGTCTCCCTTCTGCCTCTTGGGGAGCGCTCGCGTCTCCCCCGAGGGTCATCGAATATCTGAGAATATAGAGTTTCGACCGAGACATGCCACAGTGCCGTTTTATCCGTACATACGGCTTCATCCTTTGATTGTACAATGATTATAAGCTTGGAGTACAGTGGCAATGAGCTTCGAGCAACGAGCAGCTGGCATGATCGTATGTGAGTGATGGATTCCCTGCGTCGGTCCCACAGAACTTTCAGGCTCACGGACGACGCGAACAGGAGCGTAAAGTGA